ATATTGTTTAAGTCAAGCCTATGCATCCTAGAAAGTTAAAACTTATTTTTTGAAATCTATATTGTGCCGTAGTTACAGAGAGATAATAATGAAGTAGCGTTCACTAGTGCGAGAGTTATATACGACTTTGTCAAGTAATATAATTGAGATTTTTTCTGGAGATAATCGCTTCGAGTCAATCGTGTGATGGATCGTGCTTGCAGTGTCGAAGGCGAAGATCAGCGGGAACTCGGAGCTTTACATCAAAAGCGGAAGCGACATAAATCTGACCTGCATCGTATTGCAGACACCTGACCCGCCGTCCTTCATTTATTGGTGAGTTTAATTGGACTTTCGTGAATTCAATTTACGCGCATACGTATAGTCGCGCCGTGTGTACCGACGTAAAACGCCGAATTCGCACGCGAGACGCCAACGTCACGAACGAAGTAAGGGGCCTATAACCATGAACGGGTTAGAGCAGATGCTCCGACAATAGATCATCGAGACGGGTTTCTCGATTACAAGCTGAAATGAACGCGGGACACCGATGCTGATTGGCAGACGGAAAATAGTCCCCGGATCGGAATTGCTTCCTTTATTCCCGTTGCTTTCTCTGTTTGATTGAACGGTCAAATGATTGAACTGTGGAAAAAAAAGGTCATTGTCTGACGAAAGAATGGCGAGGCAAAAGGGGCCGAAGGACTGCAGGCCTCCGGCGCGAATTTAAATCGGTTTAATTACTGATTTCGCGTGAAACGGGGCTACGGCTTTTCTAATATGCATCGGTCCCTATTTTTTTCAACAAAAAATTTGGATCGTCCATTGATGAACCGAAATTCGTACGTTTTTAATAACGCGAGCAAACGTGAAGCGTGTCATTTAATGAGCGCGCAACTTTTTATAATTGTTACAGCGAATATTCTCGTACGCTAAGCAACCTAGACGCGGTCTAATATAAAGTGCATTTAAGTCTAACACATTTATATGCAAATTAAATGGAGATGTTCTGTTGCAGCCCTTTATGTCGGGCCGAGACACCGGTTCATGTTTATTTTACTCACGTTTAAGCTTCCGTTAAAAATGTGACGCGGAACGACGCTCCAGATTTACTTTTATTTCGACGTTAAAAATATAAAATAGCATTGTCAAAATACGAGCCGCTTAAGTGGCTTCCTGCCTGGTACAAACGTTCATTCTAAATAATTATGAGCGAATAATTTACAATTAGTAGCCAGCATCCGGAAATACAGAGATTTGGAGAATAGAGGATTATGACGTATGTGAATGGATGTTGCACGATGCTGTTAATTAATAGAAGGCTTTTGATTCTGCAGGTACAAGGGTGAACACGTGATAAATTACAGCCAAAGGGGTGGCATCAGCGTGGTCACTGAAAAGCAAACGCGAACGTCGCGTCTCTTGATATCCAGGGCGTTACCTGCTGATTCTGGAAATTACACGTGCGCACCGTCTACGGCCGAGTCAGCCAGCGTCCTAGTCCACGTACTCAATGGTGAGTGAGTCAGAATAATAAAAATTCCGCGGAAAAATTTCGTTCGCAGATGTGAACTCATCGTGTTCAAAAAATTCCTCTCCGTATAAATTTAATGTCCTTAAACATTTTTCGCCTGAAGTGGGAATTGATGGAACGGTTAAATCATTTTCGTTAAAGAATTATTCAGACTGGTCGTTCAAATTAATTTCTCTGGGAATGTACATTTTATTAATGAACGAGGAACTCGCGACGCGGTAATTCTGTGTTCGCCACCGTGAAATTTACGAATTATCTCAGATATTTCTCGCGAAGGAAGTCGTCGAGGAATAGCCGAGAAAAATTCACTACGCTTTAAGCTCGGCTGATCGCCCTCTCCTTGGGGATCCAATTCAGTATTCTCTTCGCGGTTGACTCTTTATCGTGAACATTATCGCTGTATTCTTAAATTTCCTACAATCTTCTCCATAAGCTGCTCCTACAGAGATACGGATTAAAGTATATTCTTCCTGGAAGTATGTTACTGCCATTCAAATAAAATCTTTCCCATTATTTCCGACGAGCCTTGATAATATTCAAAACCTCTGTTCTACGCAACGCGGTACGAGAATTTAAAAAATTGTATGTTGCACCAGCCCATGTTGGAATAGGAGCAGAATCAAAAAACGTGAAAGTGAGGCTTTACGAGCGTCATAAATTCCGAGATGACGTGGCTGGCAAGTCCGAGCACAGATAAACTAAATGATGAAAGTCGTAAGAAGGCGAGGCAGAATGCAGGTGTCAGTGTCATCAGCTCACCGTATCACGCTTGATGTATGGAGTCCAATAAACTTGATACCACCGCTGCTGTGTGTCATTTAAAATAAGGTGCTTTCAGCAAAAGATTGCTCCGGCAACACTTTGAGAGAATCATGCAAATAGGCTTGGCGCCTGCAGAGAGACCGCATTTCAATGTTATCCGCGGCAAATAAAATAGATACATATGCAATTTAACAGATAAATGGAGTTTCTCATTTTCGGTTTAAAAAGAATGCTTGAAATTTAATGGGACAAAACATCGTTTAATCATTTAATACGTTTAGTAAATTTCATATTATAGAGTTATTACCGAGTACGTTTCATTGAAGTAGACGCGCTTGAAATATTTAAATGTATCACGGTAATTGAATTCGTGCGATATTCGCGGAGGACGTTTTTTCGCTTCGCATCAATTCCCGCGTCGGGAGGTTGAACTTTCGAAGTTAGAAGGGTCGTAAATGAGTCAGTCGGTTACGAGAACGTCAGGGATTCTAACGAGGGAGTTTCACGAGGGCTGTAAGAGTCTTGAGAAAGCAGCGACAGAGCGCCGGGAATTGAACGACAGTTCATAATTTAGAGTTTCGTAATAAAGTGCATACACAGAAATGTATTTCCATGATTTACACACGTGTATCTGAAGAAGTGACTTCAAGACGTTTGATATTCCATTAACGTTCGCAGAGATGTTTCAGAGAATTCTGTACCCCTCGGTCTGATAACGATTACCACTACCACACTTGAAGTATATCTTGACTTTTCTTTCAAGAATAATGCATAACAAACGGATCCATTATATTCTACGAAATGAGCAGTCAAATCAGAGACTAGATAAATTTAATAGAGAATCAAGGAACTGAATTGCCAATTAGATGACATAACACACCTCAATGGGTATAAGGAATACAAGGAAGGGAATGAAGATCTATAGAATTCTCGGAGTAGTCTCGCTAAGACTCCGTTAGTTCGTGATAGTCCATAATATCGGGTCAGTCATGCGAATGGTACATAGCTCGTCGTTGCAGCGGTTCTTGTTAGTACATCGTGCTAGACGGTCAGGAATGGTTGTACGTACGTAATGGGTTCCAAGGAGGTAATATCTCTCTTTGCATCTCTCGCGCCAGCACGAGAGATTTTCCACTCGGTATCGGAATAATACCGGGATAACGTCGGGCCGGGGCGGGAATGAATTAAAACGCAATAGGGTGCGTCGGGTTATGTATTCCTCCGGCGGTATTTCCAGTCGCGAATTTCACTGGAACGACGTTGCCATTTCATAACTCAACGGTATGTGTAACTGGTTTACACGGTATGTGTACAATTTCATTAGTTCCCTGTCAAAACCTGTTAACTGGCAATCTGCGATCGAAATTAGGTGTTCGTAAGCGGGCGGGAGAGCGCGCGCGCGCGCGCGCGGGTTTACTCGATCCGATCAAGCATCTCGTAGGATTTGCATCCGCGTCGAATTGTTCGTACCGATGATAACTGCTATTCCCGCGCGCGAGGGTAACGTAATCCTTCGAATTGCGTCGAAACTAAATCCGTGATGCAATCAGCATTAATTATTATTACACGTGTACGCCGATAGGAAAGAGAATCAACGTGTAATTAAGTAAGGCGAGAATAAATATTAAAGAACGTATTCAACTCTGGCTGGGCGATTCGCGTATACGAAATGTTCCATGAAATTATACGGGACGCGGGGAAGGACAGTTTCGATGAGAGGTTCACTGCGCCCGACAGTTTCTGCGTAGCTATTTTTTCCCCGTGTGCGCGCAGGAGTTACGAAATTAACGGGTTGTTTGACCAGCGTCGACGGCGAGCCCGTATTTCGTGCCCGTTGAGATAGTTTCCATGCGGAAAAATCATTTACTGTTTCGTGACCCGGTAAAAAGGTATTGTTACAGCGGCTACGCGATTTATTCGACGTGGGAAACATCGAATTCCCCACGCGTACGTCTCTCGCGTACGCCTCATGAAACGGACAAATCGTGCATCCCGGTGTTCCCGCAGACATTTCGCTCGTCAACAAAAACCGCTGAACGTTTCAATTTTGAAGAGATACCGATTAAACTTTGCTAACGTGCGCTCGAATTATTAATAACGAGACACGCGATCCTGTTCGAATAGTTGTTTAAACAAAAAAAAGTCGATGGTTCTCGGATCGATGCGAGAAGATATTTGGAATTAATTCTTCGGCGACGTTACGGTATAAATGACTAAGTTTCGCCGTCGAAAATGATAAAAGCGAGCAATTTTGAAACGAGGTTACTGCGAGGGATCAAAACCGATGCGATGATAGCGCAACGCAATTTAGCGTAAACTGTATTTTATCGGAATCGATAAAATCGTGTATAACGTCCGATGGAATAATACCCGCGATCAACAGCTATTAAATAATAATTCCCCGTGAATAATTGACGTAGGCCATAACGTGCATCGACGTCTAGTTGTCATTAAACTGTAACGAACGATTGTCCGCACTTAAATATTTCTATATTGTACATCTAGGTATAAGCGCATACATAAATACGTAAAAACGTGAACGATGCTTTCACCCGCCAATCGTGCTTCATAATTGATTCGTACGGAATTTCCAAGCGACCATAAAATTAATTTCATATTTTATGATGCTTGATATCTAAATCAGAAGATATAAAACGTGCTCGAGTTGCGGGCAAAATTACGTGATAAATTCGATTCTTAATAAATCAACCGGAGTTCCATAAACGGGATCCATCGGATATTTGTTGAGCCTACTTGGAAAGCTCCAACAATGCGAGATACGTTTTGATCAAACGGGCAGAATAATTAATCACGCTCGCTGTCAGTTAGAATCCTTTGTAGCCACGTTTTTCAACCCGGAATTTAATGCAACATCGGCGACAACAGATACAACGCGCGCATTCATTATCGTATAAACATATACGCTGACATGGGAATAATAACGCGCAATTTATCAACGGGAATCGTAGCCAGCCAGTAAACGTCGATACATCTACGCGAGCCGGGCTCTCGGTTAACTTTACAACCATTTGAAACGGTGCCAAAATTTTTTCCGGGAACCGGGAGCCGTTGTAAATTACACTTGTCCACCCGTTCCGTGTGGATATCAATTATCAGTTATGACCGCTGACTCGCATTCAAATTATCAACTCTACGAACGTCGGTTAATAATATCAAAATGTCCCGAAAGAATTCGATGAACGAGTCTGACCCGTCACATGAGAAATTCGTCCATTGATCATCGTAGCGCCCGCATTGACTCGGGAGAGAAAAATATTTGAAGTATTCTTGCCGCTTATTGCACGAGCTGCGGTGCACGTCGAGACCAGGGACAGAAAGTGTCTAACTTCGGCGTACGAGAGTCGACCCATTAATACGAGGGTGCAGGAAAAGTTGTCGAAGCTAATACGAAAGCATTATCAAAAGTTAACGGTCTTCCGTGGCGTAATAGCGCGCTAAGATTTATTGTCCTCGATCCTCCTCGTGGAGGACGATGAGCGAACTGGGAAACAGTGGAAGGGTCCGTTCGGCGTCTGGCCGCGCCTCTACCACTCCGCTTTTCAACCGATACACAGCGACGATTGCACTCGAGACTCGGATTCCGTTAAGAGAACAATGCTTCCACGGTTCTAGTGTTGTTATTTCAAATGCGAGACTCGATCTCGAATGCTAACGTTCGATTCGCGTCGGATTTCGTTGAAACTCCGTCTTGTCCCACGCTTCGTATAAAAATAACAATATCCTCAGCCAAGGAATACTTGATATTCAGGACGATATCGTTGTGTCAGTCAGACACAGACGAGATCTCTCGTGGAGACGTAGTTCTCGTAGAATATCGTGTACTTCGTGTAAATAATTTGTCAATTATTTTTCCACGTTCCTAAATGATTGAGCGATCTCCGTTTAGATTTAGAACAATGATTAACAAGACGAGACGTGACGTGGGGATTCAGACTTGAGAAACAGAACGATATTTCACATGCAGCAACAGTATTAAATCGTACTTGTAATGCACATTGAAAGTGTTGCGGGCGGAAGAGATTAGAAGGTAGATATTTTATTTTAGTGCACGGAAAGCACGTCGAGTGTGCACGCTCGATATATCGATTTCATCTCGTGACGCTAGAACTTTCGCATCTGGAGGAGGACGGGTATCGATCCTCGTGCTTCTCTTTCATTTATCTTCACTCGAGCTGAACTTCTGAAAGCTTTTTCACTCT